ACACTTCTGCTGCCTCAAAACTCTTCCTAATTGTTTAATAGTAAAATAAATTGTGCAGCACAGGTTTACAATGTTCTGTTTCCTCCACACAATAGAATCGCATAGGTTTTTAAGGCATCTTGCTTCAAGGTTAGCCTAGATATATTTTACACCTGGCAAAATAAATACTTATTTTGAAATGATCTACGTAGCACAGTTAATACTACTATTGTTGTTGAAGACATGCAAGCAGTATAAACAAGGTGAAGTATGAAAACAATTTTATCACAAGTAAAAAAATTATTTTTGTTGATCAGTCACATCTATGTGTTCTACTCCAAGCAAGCAGAAGATCTGCACCGGGTTTAAACATCCAAGAGGTGAACTTGAAGACAATAAATGACTAAATCTCATGATCTCCCAAGCAAGACCAAGACATGCATTAAGTAGACATCAAAAGATGGACTAGAAGATAATAAATGAATCTAATTAATTCTCTTTTAAGTATTATGAAGCTAACTTTCAAGCCAAGAGCTAAAAAATGAATGATGCTGGCCTCAAGTAACCATACTGTGGATTAGTTACTCCTTGCTAACTCAGTTCATAAAAGTATGTGATTTATAATGAAATCAACCAACAAAGGTTGAGCTGTTTCATTAAGACTAAATCAAGAAATGGAATATATTTTTAATCATGTTCACCACTGTATGTTCCACCCAAATGTGGACTTAAAAGTATACAGTTTCATCACCAAGCTACAGAGATAAGTGCACAGCATGACACTGTGAACTGTGGGTGTCATCTGGAATGCTTTCTGAATGTGCCCAATGTGGTTTGTGTTGTAAGTGGTAGATTAAGAAAATGGTGAATGGCCCATTTCCACAGAGCTGGTGGCGCCTTATGTAAATTATTAACTGCATGTGCAATGACTGAATCGTTGTAAATGCTGCTTCCATCCAAAAAAAAAGAATTGCAATTTTTTTTTAGCGCCAGACTGTTTGTGTAGGCACTTTTTTATGGCATCTTTATGCATCTAATGTGTATGTATATTATTTGCTTCGCTAAGACTGCAGTTTATGAGTAAGTAAATTTTTGTTTCACAATGAGTACTGTGGTTTTTATTGGTACAAGCAACTATAGGGTGATGCTTTTGCCGTGATCTTGGAACTGTGATTACCTGATTACCTGATCACAAAGGCTGTGGCTCACAATAGCTAAAGAAAATATCTCCTGCATGAATTAAAACTATATCACAACCTTCGATAATAACAGTTCCTGCAATATTTACAAAAGGAACATAAACAAAAACAAATCTGGTCCACTCGGTTGCAGACACAACATCTAGGCAACAGAAACAAATCAGTACAGCTACATGCTAAATATGCGCCCTAGGAATGCTTTAAAATTATATCTAGAAAATAAACATGACAGAAAAAAAAAATATAATTAAAAAAAAAAACATGGCATCTTAGAATAACTGTTCTAAGAAAAATAAAATAACAGTAGAAGACAGAGAAACATGATGTGGTTATGAGTGTGTGATGTGTTTATGACCAGACATATTATGTCCTTAACTGAATGATCAGAAAGCTATGTGATTTTTCCATAAAAACCCATTATTTGGATATCTCAAATTACTTTTAGCTTGCTCCTAATAGCTAGAGTCATAAATGCCAAACAGTCTGCAGCATCTTTTAGTCCATATCTGTCTCTTGCATAGCCATTCATGCAAAATGAACTTTCACAACAGTGTCAAATGGGGGGACCCAATACAAATTGAAGATCTGAGAACTGCTGAGACCGAGTAGACTGGCTGAACATGGGAGGGGGGTGGGGGGGGGAACAACCCAATACAAATTGAAGATCTGAGAACTGCTGAGACCGAGTAGACTGGCTGAACATGGGAGGGGGGAACAACCCAATACAAATTGAAGATCTGAGAACTGCTGAGACCGAGTAGACTGGCTGAACATAACAGCACAGAGAATAATGTGCCAAACTTTGTTTAATTAAATTCCTCATACAAAAGCTAGTAACAACATGTGTCCTTAGCAAAAAACATCAGAGCCTTTAATTTTTCTGAGCATGACAGAGTCAAAAACCATTTAACAAGGGGATTTAGCATCAGAGACCCAAGGGGTAGTCAAGTGATGTAAAATCAGCACATCTTGTGTTCCCTTGGTTTCCAGGTAGTAATCTATGAATGTTATGATGTATTCAATGTGACTGAAAGAGTTAATCTGTAGCAATCCAAAACATGACAGCTTGTGCAATGTTTTCACACACAAGAAATCACTGCTTTCATTTCAATGTGCTCTGAACTTTCAATGTGAAAATAATGATATTAGGCGATCTTCAACAGTTAAAAATCTACAGCAGGAGTCGCCTAGAGCCCCAGCAGAGGCCTCAAAGACGGGGTAAGTAAGTATTGGGGTGCCAAGAATAGAAAATTCAGCAGCTTTAAGATCAACAACAGGAAGAAAAACAATAATAATAGCAATAACAACAATAATAATCGTTTAGTACAAACAAAACAATTTTAGTTTCAATTACCAGATGTATAAAATGCCAACATATCAACAGTATTTTTAAAAAAAATACAAGATGAACAACATGTGTTTAGAATAAATCACTAAAAATGTGTTTTATGAAGAAATAAAAAATGTTACTGAACCTAATTAAAATGGAACAAAGAACACAGGAACAAGCAGCTCTTTTCTTGTTAAAGAAATAGTCTTCTTTGTTTTTTTTTTTTTTTTTTGGCAATGTTACGAGAATAAAGAAACTGGATTACGTTGTGAGAAGTGGAAAAAAAACTTACTGAAATAGAAACAGAGGAACACAATGTCAGAAGATTCTTGCCAGCCTTTTGTGACAGCAAGAAACTTTTCAGTACACACACTGGCACATGGTAATAGAGAGCAAAAGTTGTGGAAAGACAAGATCACCCAAACCAGTCAACAAGGCACTTGTTGATGATAATTATCACATACTAAAAGAGAGCTAAGCATCTATATACTTCTTTGACACATATCTTATACTGAAGCCAGGGGATCTGGCTGATGCTCAACACTCAGGGGAAGGAACAATTGGAACTCTTTGCTTGCTGCAGAAGATGGGGACTGAGCACTTATGGGATGTCCCGAGTGCTGTGATGTCGATTCTTAATTCAACATTTTTTATATTGAAACACTGCAGACACAAAGAAAACATTGTACAATTGATTGCCTGGCATATTTTACTATATCTCGTCTTTGTTACAGAGTTACATCAACATTGAATGAAGCGTAACAATTTATCTTGGTTCAGTGTCATCTCCACAATGGAGGCTGGCTACAGTGTATCGCTGTTCTTTTTTGGAATATTACAAGGTGAGGCCACAATCTCCTCCATGGTGCGACTCTCATAACATTGTCCGAAAACGATGAGAAAGGACTTTTACCCATCCACAGCGGGAAACAAACCACAATACTCGAGGGTCATGAAATTGTTAACCACATTTGCTAGTCTCTAGCCATGGCAAATCAATAAAGTTTACTGAAATACAGAATGGTCTCTTGCGATCCAATGTTAAATGTATATGCTTCATTAAATGTTGATGTAACTCTGTAGTAACGCACCTGACAAGAAACAGCAAAATATGTCTGGCAATAAATTGTCAAATGTATTGTTTGTGTCTTTAAACTCACTACTAGAAAATACTGTTTTGAATATATTTTTTATGTGCACCTTCCTGTCCTACCTTACATCCAAACTGTGGACAGTGATAAATGGACAACTATTTTGATTTAGGGAACAATGTGCCTTGTGTAATATGGTAGCAGCTTGGAAGCTAAGATTGTGGATGTAAAATTTCTTCACAGAAAAAAGATGACAATTCGTAGGACTAAAGTGCTGACGATATACCCTGAAAAAAAAAAACCTGCATAATTCATTCATTCATTCAGTAGCATGTCCCTCGCGGAACCTCGCTGCCATAACAACCCTCCGGAAAACCTTCCTATCATGAGCAAGATGTCCTGCGTCTGATACACCCATCTGGAGATCATCTGCCACATCCTGCACCCATCTTCTCCTTGGCCTTCCTCTTCCTCTCTTCCCAGGCATATACCCCTCCATTATTGTTCTCTCTAGACTTCCATGACGTTTCAAGTGACCAAAATATTTCAATTTTCTTTGTTTTATTGTCTTTACTAGCCAACCCTCTTCAATATTCAGCTCTTGAAGTATGGATGCATTTGTTCTTTTCTTTAATAATACTTAATAATAATACTTAATAATACTTTAAAAAAAAACTAACAACACTGGATACCACAGAAAACTCAAAAGTTCCACCTTTACAATAGATGGTTATATAGTAGAACTGAATGCTGGGTATAAATCAAAGCTTGTTTACAGCTTTCTTCATTTTCTGATGCTTTAGGTCACAGAAGAAAGAAAGAAAAACTAGGTGCAGTCCACAAACAGGAACTGTGGGGTTTTAAAAAAAAATGAAGATAAATTTGCAGGTATGACGCAGGTAAAAAAAAAGGGGGGGGGGGGGGGTTATAACAAGAAAGAAAGAACTAGAAGAAAACAAGTAAATTTATCTATAAAATTAAAATCCAACAAGATAGTGAGCAGCAAGATGCAAAAGAGGACAAGAATATAAGACATTACACTAGGTCATGGATGCATACAGTACTCCAGTCTCACTATAGACACTTTGATTTAAAATGCACAAACTACATATTATCATCATTCCTTCTTTCTGTTCTATAACACATTTATAAATACATTATGACAACAATGTTTCCTTCTTGCAATATTAACTTTCATCACATAATTTTTTATGAACATGCAAGTGTTTTATATAAACACTTTGCATTAATAGTAATCATACATTCAAAAAACAAATATATAGTAAATATAAGTACTACCTTCAAATACTATGACTGATATAGAGGTACAAATAATGTAACACTAGAAATTCACTGTGCATTTCAACAATGATGAGCCTGAAGAGAAGTGGTCACTAGAGGTTAGTCAACTTTTAGAATTTTACTGTACTGCTCCTGTGGAACTTCTTTCATTGTCTCCTTGACATATGAGCGTTTCAAGCCACCATCCCTGCAAGGATACAAGACAAACTAGTCAACAACAAATGAAACGTTGAAACAGTCTACCAATGACATATGAGCGTTTCAAGCCACAATCCCTGCAAGGATACAAGACAAACTAGTCAACAACAAATGAAACGTTGAAACAGTCTACCAATGACATATGAGCGTTTCAAGCCACCATCCCTGCAAGGATACAAGACAAACTAGTCAACAACAAATGAAACGTTGAAACAGTCTACCAATGACATATGAGCGTTTCAAGCCACCTTCCCTGCAAGGATACAAGACAAAACTAGTCAACAACAAATGAAACGTTGAAACAGTCTACCAATGACATATGAGCGTTTCAAGCCACCATCCCTGCAAGGATACAAGACAAACTAGTCAACAACAAATGAAACGTTGAAACAGTCTACCAATGACATATGAGCGTTTCAAGCCACCTTCCCTGCAAGGATACAAGACAAACTAGTCAACAACAAATGACAAGTTGAAACACAGTCTACCAATGACATATGAGCGTTTCAAGCCACCTTCCCTGCAAGGATACAAGACAAACTAGTCAACAACAAATGACAAGTTGAAACAGTCTACCAATGACATATGAGCGTTTCAAGCCACCTTCCCTGCAAGGATACAAGACAAAACTAGTCAACAACAAATGAAACGTTGAAACAGTCTACCAATGACATATGAGCGTTTCAAGCCACCTTCCCTGCAAGGATACAAGACAAACTAGTCAACAACAAATGACAAGTTGAAACACAGTCTACCAATGACAAGTATATTCTATAAATAACAAGTGAATAATCTATCATTATCAAATAGTAGGTAATTTGCAAAATGTAGTTCTTATTCTCATCACAGCCTGCTTGAAAGAAACTCAGTCTCTCGCCAGCTTGCCTGCCTTGTGCACTTTCCTACCTCAGATATCACGTATACCTTTTGCCCATCTTCGTGCTGGTCGGCCCCTGCCCCTCTTTCCTGGTACCACGCCTTCTGTTACTATTCTTTCCAATCTGCCGTGGCGTTCGATCAGAATATATGTTTCCAAAACAAGATGCTGTTGACCTGTCACTTTCCCCTATGTTCAGATCTGTAATTGTGTCAGTATTCTCTTCTTCTTGGTCCGGGTATTATAAGAATCTTCAAACAGCATTTTAGCTCAAAAGCGCCTGAATAATGTGGACACAAACAACACACTGCACATACATTACATAATTGATTGTGTGGCATTTTTTCTGGCTGTATCTTGTTAAGTGAATTACCTAACTCTAGTAATGCACGGTTATATTCGTCCGTCCCTTTTAGGAAGAAATTTTTTGTTCTTTGAAGCCCAACCCTGGCTTTTGCCAGGGGCCCCAATATAGGCAGGCCATAAATATGGCTAATTGTCTGAACGCGGTTTCTGGGACCTCTCCACGGTGATCCTCACCCACATGGTGGCACTTTGTGTCATCGCTTGTGTGATGTTCTGGTGGGGTAGAAAGTCAGTCAGTCAGTCAGTAATGCACATTATGAGATATAACAAAATAAGCCAGGAAATAAATTGTGCAATGTATTTTATTTGTCTACATGATTTAAACTCACTTTGGGAAAACTCTGTGTTGAATATATTTTATATGTGTACTATCCTAAGTCCTATCTCACAACCATAATGTGGGCAGTGGTAAATGTACAACTAAACTACTGTCACCAACAGTTTGACAGCACTTGAAAACACATAAGCCATAGCAACTCCAATAAATGTGTGGTGCCTTGCTTGGTACTGAAAGAGTTAAGGGTTAATGTGTCCACATGACCTTAATCTATAGTTAATAAATTAAGGTTATCATCTGTCTCTGGAGAGGAGTGGACCCGGCCAGAGTTGAAATACTACCTGAGATGCACCATGCTGTTGACAAATAGATCAGATACTACACTGGCTCGGTCGTCACCCGGGTTACAAAGGACCGCGCCATCCGTCCCAAGATCAGGTAGGATGCGAAAAGTTAGCTACTGATTCATAACAAGAGGACTGGCAAGCTAGCAGAGCTAACTACAATAAAAAGTAAAAAATTGCAATGGAATAGACATGTAATAAGATCTAACGGCCTCTCAAAAACAATACTGCAGGGCTCAGTAGAGGAAAAGAGGAGGAGAGGCAGACCAAGAAAGACCTGGTTACAGAACCTGACTGACTGGACAGGCCTCAGACATGCAACTATGAAGTCCATCGCAACTGACTGCCAAAGGTGGAGAGAGCTGATCAGACAGTCAACAGAAACTGGTAACCCAACGACACGTAGTGTTACGGGATGACGATGATAATGGTGAGGCGGCTATGAGACTGAAACAAATGGTCAGCCAAGTTTCAACTTCCTAGCAAATGGGTCATCGCATTTTAGCTCTGTTACTGTGCCAATGACAACCACACAGAATTTCCATCACTGTCCCTTCTGGAAAAATTAAAACAAACTGCAGTCTCAGGATATTAAATAACATACACACTCATTAAATGTATAAAGCAGCTGTCAGAGGTGCTTATACAATCAGTCCAACACTAGAAATTCAGTTCATCATCAATAGAAGCAGCAGTTACACTAAAATGTGGGGTGATGAGAAGGGAGGAGATTGCAATAACTGCCAGTTTAATGGCAGAAGAGGCAGACAGATCCCCAAGAAGTGATGCTGGACTGTTTCAGGCAGTGGGATACCATCATCAGACCAGAATTGAGCACAGTTAAGAACCAATATCACAGCATTTGGGATATTCCCATAAGCTCTCTGCCCCCAACTTTAGCAGCAAACATAAAGTACTCATGCCGATGGCACCAGTCTCAGTTATACATTCTCTGGTCATCTACCATTGCACCGTTGTCTTCAAACAAACAAAAACAACACTAAATAAAAAAACATAACACCAAGGACTAAGTTTGTGGAGAAATAGGACACTCACACCATTCATTTGTGTGAGGACACGATAATGTTGTTATTAACTGTAACTTGGAACAGCATATTTTGTGTAACAGGCTGGTAATGTTTAATTCAAAAGCATCTGTTTTTTTTTTTTTTTTTTGGTGATGGAGGGTGAAATCAGTAAACATAACACCAAGGACTAACCGTTCGTGGAGGACACGATAATGTCCTAAAGCCAGCATATTTTGTGTAACAGGCTGGTAATGTTTAATTCAAAAGCATCTTTTTTTTTTTTTTTTTGGTGATGGAGGGTGAAATCAGTAAACATCCTGCCGCGGGTTCTAAAGCCCCAGAAATAAATAGACCCACTGTCCCCATCACAAGCAGGTTGTAAAAGACAACAAGGGGTTTGCTGAAATGAGTTGGGGCAAAATGTAGCTGCAGCCTTGCTATAAACCACAACACAATGTGCCACACATCCTTTTAAGTGCAAAAGCAGAAGCAGTTAACTATAAATTTCTGTCTCACCAATCTAACTCCACCAGACCACCTCGACTGGCTATCTTGGATTTTACTCTGTTTGCAAAAGCCACAGCATCTTCATTTTCCTGAGAACAAAACACAAAAGTTAGGAAAAGAAACAACATAGAACGCTTTTCACATAAGAACAATGTGAAATTTAAAAAAAAAATTTTAATTGATAATGTATTATATTTAAATTATCTTCTTTGGTATGTGTGGCTTAGGCATTGCGAATGTGTTTCCTAATGCTGTGTTTGACCCCAGCTGCAGGTGATTTGGCAGCAGACTGCTTTGCGTCGATTTCAACAGTGGTATTGAGAGCCGACCATTCAATAGCAATGCTAAAGCACATTTTTCTAGAAAACCACAGCAACCAAACAAATCGGACGTTGTTTGGCAACGTTCTGCAAAAGACGAGCAACTAACTTTCCAACTTTTTTATCTTAGCGTTAACTGGCTGAAAACTCTGGCTGGAAGTTCTGACTTTTAGGCCACTCCTAGACTTCGGTCTTGTTCCAAAACTTGAGTTTCGCAGGGATATTCATTCTACAGATCTGGCTTATTTATATGCAGACTGTTGGTTCCTTATCTCAGAGGCAGATGGACTGTGATTTTGATAGAAACAGCATAACTGCCGTTTACAACATGTTCGTCAGGGGAGCAGTGTGTCTATTCTTTTCCCCCCAGCATGGGGCCCAGGAACCGACATGGCAACGTAGCTGTAACTAGATGTCTTAGGTACTGTGTGATCAAACTGACATAGAGACGTAGCTGTAACTGGATGTATTAGGTACTGTGTGATCAAACTGACATGGCAACGTAGCTATAACTGGATGTCTTAGGTACTGTGTGATCAAACTGACATGGCAACGTAGCTGTAACTAGATGTCTTAGGTACTGTGTGATCAAACTGACATGGCAACGTAGCTATAACTGGATGTCTTAGGTACTGTGTGATCAAACTGACATAGAGACATAGCTGTAACTGGATGTCTTAGGTACTGTGTGATCAAACTGACATGGCAACGTAGCTATAACTGGATGTCTTAGGTACTGTGTGATCAAACTGACATGGCAACGTAGCTATAACTGGATTTCTTAGGTACTGTGTGATCAAACTGACATGGCAACGTAGCTATAACTGGATGTCTTAGGTACTGTGTGATCAAACTGACATGGCAACGTAGCTATAACTGGATGTCTTAGGTACTGTGTGATCAAACTGACATGGAAACGTAGCTGTAACTGGATGACTAAGGTAGTGTGTGATCAAACTGACATGGCAACGTAGCTGTAACTGGATGACTAAGGTTCTGTGTGCTCAAACTGACATAGCGACGTAGCTGTAACTGGATGACTAAGGTTCTGTGTGATCAAACTTACATGGCAACGTAGCTATAACTGGATGTCTTAGGTACTGTGTGATCAAACTGACATGGCAACGTAGCTATAACTGGATGTCTTAGGTACTGTGTGATCAAACTGACATGGCAACGTAGCTGTAACTGGATGACTAAGGTAGTGTGTGATCAAACTGACATGGCAACGTAGCTGTAACTGGATGACTAAGGTTCTGTGTGCTCAAACTGACATAGCGACGTAGCTGTAACTGGATGACTAAGGTTCTGTGTGATCAAACTGACATGGCAACGTAGCTGTAACTGGATGACTAAGGTTCTGTGTAATCAAACTGACATGGCAACGTAGCTGTAACTGGATGTCTAAGGTTCTGTGTGCTCAAACTGACATAGCGACGTAGCTGTAACTGGATGACTAAGGTTCTGTGTGATCAAACTGACATGGCAACGTAGCTGTAACTGGATGACTAAGGTTCTGTGTGATCAAACTGACATGGCAACGTAGCTGTAACTGGATGACTAAGGTTCTGTGTGATCAAACTGACATGGCAACGTAGCTGTAACTGGATGTCTAAGGTTCTGTGTGCTCAAACTGACATAGCAAGGTAGCTGTAACTGGATGACTAAGGTTCTGTGTGCTCAGTCTTCCTTTTAAGCATTAGTATAAGATGAATCTTTCAGTCAAGAGCAATCATATTCATCTTAGTTTATAATGCCAAACACAGAGTGACTTACTTTACCTGCAACTAACACCGAGATTAGTTTATTGTATATGCACCCCAACACTGTACACTAGCAATATCTGTACCCCAACAATATCTGCACCCCAACAATATCTGTACCCCAACAATATCTGTACCCCAACAATATCTACACCCCAACAATATCTGCACCCCAACAATATCTGTACCCCAACAATATCTGTACCCCAACAATATCTACACCCCAACAATATCTGTACCGCAACAATATCTGTACCCCAACAATATCTGCACCCCAACAATATCTACACCCCAACAATATCTGCACCCCAACAATATCTGTACCCCAACAATATCTGCACCCCAACAATATTTGTACCCCAACAATATCTGTACCCCAACAATATCTGTACCCCAACAATATCTACACCCCAACAATATCTGTACCCAATCAATATTTGTACCCCAAAAATATCTGCACCCCAACAATATCTGTAACCCAACAATATCTGTAACCCAACATTATCTGTACACTTACAATATCTGTACACAAGAACTGAAAGTGTGACTCAACCCTTAATGAACTTATTCCTAAATGTGACTGAACTTATTAACGATATGACAAAAGCCAAGGCAATGCCTCTTAATGAAATTATTATAACTATGACTAAATCTTGTACCCAGTATATGTTTGTTGTCCATCAAGATGATGATGACCACTCTTTTTCATCAAGTATGTGTACGAAGATGACTGATGAGGCCGATGAGGGCCCAAAAAGTTCTTGGACAGTGAGGACAGGGAATTAGCATTGTGCCAGGGAGGAGATCTCCTGCAGTCACCTTTCTGTCCATCCTTTTCTTAATAAGTCTTGCAATTGCAAGTCCTGCAGAATGCATGGAGGAAACTATATTTGGTTCACTAGCGACACTAGCAAAGCGCTGTGGAGCGTACTGAGCATGGAGAGGCACGTAGAACGCCCTGGTCATCCACTGCATCTAGACATACCCAGTATATAGCCATGTCAGCAACCACTAAAAAACATCAAGCAATACTGAATTAACATTACCGAAACAAAAAATAAATAATTTCATACAAGTTTAGTCATTGGAGGCAGGTACCAGACATCACAGACGAGTGCCCAGCTAGTCATCAGCTCCAGCAAGTGTTGAGAGTAACTGTGTTTACTGCTGTTCCAGAAGGCATCGCCAAAGCGAGGGTCATACTGAAATAAATAGGAGCTTCTGTCTGTACTCTGTTACTATTACTACACCAATGTTATGCAGTTTGAACTATTTCATTATGGTCATGTGCGATGTGCGAAGAAGATGATCTCAAAAATGAATAATAACTATTTCAATCCCAGGTATATCTTTATGTAACTCCTACCTTCCTAAGCAGCAGTAGCCTAAAATAATAAGTGATTTGGTCTGAAGGGGTTCAATTAATAACATCATGAAATGAAAGGACCTGAAACAACAGTTGGGAAAGAAGGAGTCAAGGCAACAGCTTGGTAATGTACACAGCACTCAAAATGCATAAGCCAGGCAACCCCGACAAATGTATGCAGCGTTGCTTGATATTGAAAGAGTTAAGGGTTTAAGTAAAACATTTTGTTATACTGAAACTCTACATTCCCATTAAATAAATCAACTCTTTCAGTCTGTGGCAAGTATTTTATTATGTCATTCTTTCCTAAGTAGTTATTTTAAAGTCCCAACTGGTACTATAGGAGTTAAAATAATAATACCATGGACTCTTCACGTAGGGTAGCTGGGCCTGTCATAAAAGGCTCTATTTATGATTTGCTGAAATCAGATGTGTTTGATTCAAAAGCGCACATTTGAAAGCATAGCTGTAAAACCACAATACAATTAATGTATCAACCATATTTCTAAGGGTACATGCAGAAGAAGAAGAAAAAAAAATACTACTATGGATTAAAAAAATAGTTAAGTTACAACTGGGATAGAATAGGTTAATGTTACTACTGAATGGAGCACAAGAAATTAACCAAAAATAAATAAGAAAACTCAAGAAAAACCCGGTCAATTGCATGGAAGTGACAGATAACTGATTACCCTCATCAGGCAAAGACAACTCCAATCCTTTGGGCCTGTTATGAGACAGATATAAACAAAACTGGAGTATGTCATGACAAGAGGAACATTATAGTGGAAGACAGGCAGATGGAGACCAAGAGAGATGTTGGACCTTTTGGCCTTATGGCATGGAAGAGCATGTGTATCAAATATGAATTTTGCCATTTTTCCCCCAAAAAGACCAGGTCTTAAATTATATTTTGCTCCAAAGACACCTTAGGGTTTACTTTCAGGAGATGTTATTTTGTTTTATATATGTCTTTATTCTACAAATCATCATCCCGTAACACTAAGTGTCATTGGGTCACCAGTTTCTGTTGACTGTCTGATCAGCTCTCTCCACCCTTTGGCGATCAGTTGCGATGCGGTGGACTTCACGGGTGCATGCTTGAGGCCTGTCCAGTCAGTCAGGTTCTGTAATCAGGTCTTTCTTGGTCTGCCTCTCCTCCTTTTTTCCTCTACTGAGCCCTGCAGTATTGTTTTTGAGAGGCCGCTAGATCTTGTTACATGTCTATACCTTTGCATTTTTCGCCTCTTCACTGTAGTTAAAAGAGGTTCATTCTTCAAATACCGATTACCGATTTCTACTACGTACACATTCGAGACAAGTAGACAAACATGCCGCCCAAAGTTAGCAGCACGACTCTGCTTGTCGTAACAAAATAAAATGTGTTTTTCCTAATTAGAGTTACAAAAAATTCAAGCAAGATGGCGGATTTCGGTCTAGCGTGGCGGATTTCAGTCCACCTTTTGTGAAACCACATTGAGATTTTCATATTCAAACAAGATGGCGGATTTCGGTCTACCGTTTGTGGAATTATATTAGGATTTTCATGTGCACAGTGGATATCCATGACCCTACACTGGATTTCAACTAGACTAATTTGTTCAATTCATTTGGATTACTGTGTTTTAAAGAAACTTTAAAGTGTTTTTAAACCTGGACTACTTGTTATCAAACATGGAGACGATTATCGTACCTCCAAACAAATATGGAAACCCGACGCTACATAGGCGAGACACGCTAGTCTGCACCATTGATGGACCCATGGCGGCTGCAAAGAGCAAACCTGGTTTCATGATGGCCATGTTAATAGGCCCTTTTGAAATACCACCAGATGATATCATAGATCTGTTCCGACACGAACGCCCGACAGAATGGTATTTCTGCCTGCCTGCCTGTCAACAAAAACTGTTCCAGACCCTGCATGGCAAATCAGTGACCCTGAAAGAAGACAACATCACCTGCAGAATTGAACAGTATGGAAAGCACAGAAAAAGGATCAAACTTAACTGGTTACCAAGCCAATTGAACACCGATGGCGTGATGGACATCGTAAAGGCAATAACAGGAGATTGTGAACCTGAAATCTTCCCTATTCATCACGACGAAAGGAAGTGGGGAGCGATGTGTAAGCCAACACGAGACATACCCCACTATATACGTGTTGAAACTCCAGGCATAACCAAAGAGTTTTGATCACGATGCCTGACCGAAGGATTGCCTGTATGTACTGCAACCAAGATGACCACTGGTCAAACAAGTGTCCGGAAAAGAGGCAGCGACAACAGACATTCCCAACTACAACTCCGGAGATCCCGAGAGTCTACCCAAAACCAGCCGAAACAGTTAAGAAGTCAGCACAACCAGAAACCAGTCGAAAGGAAACCAAAGCGACCGTTCCTCAATCTCAAGGAGAGAAAGAAGCGAGACCTGGCACATTAATGGCCCTTCAACCCACAGTGAACGCGGTGGCACATCAGAAACAAAACTCAAAAGACAACATCACTGTGAATGCAACGAAGACCACCCCAAGTAATAACGAGGTGGAACCCAAAACAGTGGAGACCACCCCACGCATAGAGACTACGGTAGAAGCGACAGTGAAAATACAGACAACAACAGAAACTGGTGCGGCAACTGCACCCGCAGTTAAGAAGACCACAAGCCAGGCACCCAAAACAGTTTCGGAGAATACAGAACCTCAAAGACTACCATCACAACCAGAAGAGGCTCCGGCTCAACTACTTAAGACAGTTTTTTAAAATGTGAAACTTTCAGACCCACCATTATCACCTTTATCGCCAGAACAATCGCCTAAAGTAAAGGAACATCCTGGAACACCTGAAACAAACTCGGAAACGGAGAGAACTAGAGACAGCAACACAGAGACGGAGTCAGAAGATGAAACAGAAGAACACAGATTATGGGAAACATTGGTACAAGAGATAAAGAGGATGAGACGTGAAAGCGGAGAACAGACCAATTTCGGTTTACCAGTCTATGAGGAGCTCTATTACAGACACAACAGAGAACATATTGACAATGAGGCGCGGAAAATAGCAGAAGCAAATCGTGAAGAAGGAAAGATAGAAGAACTCTGTGAACTGGTCAATTTTTATAAGCAGTACACAGACGATTTTCACCAAAAAGCAAAACTCTTCCTTCAGAAATGGAAAGAGGACCAAAAGTAACCAAAAAGACATAAACTAATCTAAAATACAAAGAGACCAATACCAACTATCACCAACCTCCCATTACCCCACCTTTCTTGTGTTTAAATCTACCACACCAGAACATAACACAAACAGACACAAACAAAACGGCCACAAATGTAAACAGACTAACAATATAAAAGCAAACAGACAAACACTCTCACGATAGCAGAAAAACACAATACTCGCAAACATACAGAGTTGTAAATAAAGGGGAAACCCAACAAACAAACAAAAAAATACTTACTTACAGTTTTAAAATATGTTTAAAGAACAAAAAGGCTAAGTATTTTTAAATTTGTTCTATTTCTCTGTGTGTGCATATATGTGAATGCTAGATTTATTAATGAGCATGGGGTGGGGGGTGTTTTTGCACTCCCTCTTTATATGTCTCTAATAATAAATTGTAAATTAACAAGCAAGCAATTTGTTACAGCGGCCATAAAAATCATTTACCTTAATTGCTATTGGATAAATTGTAGAGCCAACTTCAAAACTGCCCTTCTTAAACATCATCACTGAAGTGTTATTGATACAAGTTCCTGCAGTCAGAACATAAACACATAAGTACTAGGTGAAATAATATATACAAGAAGCAATTACTGTTGAAGTCATGTGAAATTATCAGGTGACTTCTTTTATTACATTCTTATCACTGACTTTTCTTCCTCACTAATTTCCCTTCCTACATGACTGTTTTCAAGATTAACCCATTTAACTCTTTGAGTCCCAAGGAACGCATCATACGTTCATAAGTTACTGCCTAGAAAAGCCCAATGAACGCATGATGTGCCGATTTTACGTCTCTTTTGACTACCCCTTTAGCCTGTGATGCTTAACCCTCTGTGACTCAAAGAGTTAATGATAAGCCAATAATGACACATAATATTAAATTAAGAAAAACTCACCCTCAGGAAAAATCAGAATTGGCAATTTATTTGGATCCGCAATGTGAGACCGTAACCTGAACAGTCAAAGAAATACTGTCACTGAATATGTATAATTTACTAACATGCGCAAATGGAACATGCAATTAAAGAAATGAAAAGATGTAGAAAGAATGATAGAGAGAATCAGAAAAAGACATAGAGAGATAGGGAGACTGACAAACAATTGTGCGCATGGTCAGATACTGAGCATGCTTATACTCAGCAGTGCCCACCACTCATCTTGCAAACATTTAAAGCACTATGCAATGATTTTATTTGGCCATAAGTACAAGTAAAGGGCCCTTTTCATGCAAGTGGTACATTGGGCAAATGATGCAACTCACATCTTTATACACTGTGAGTGGCTACACAGCTACCTACTACTAGGGCTGTACCGAATAGTGGTTTTCACTATTCGGCCAAATACGAATAGTGGGACCAACTATTCGGCCGAATACGAATAGTGTATCATCATCATCAGGTGCCTCGCCGACTGGTGTGGCGATTTTGCCTCGCCACAATCTTCGATCTCCTGCAGCATGTATCAGTTTGTGTGCTGACACACCTCCATGACATGCAACGACTGTCAAGAATCTTCTCTCGTTGTCTTTTTCTATCTCTCCTTCCGCAAATCTTTCCAGTGGTCACCACATGTTCCATTTTCACTCTTTCTATATGATGGCCGAAAAATGATGACTGTCTTCTTCTGATGTCTGGGATTAGTTGTCTTCGGGCTCTCGCCTCTTTCAAAACCTAGTGGTTGCTTTTTTTAAGCTGTCCAAGGTATTTTAAGCATTGTTCTGTAAAACCACATCTCTGAGGCCTCAAAAAATTGTTTGGCCTGGCTACAGATTGTCCAGGACTCATAGCCATATGTTAAAACTGGATGTATGTAGCAAGCAAGACAACGATATATTGCACAAGATGTTCTCTTTTTTTTATATAAAATGCAGTTTTTGCCTGTCCTATTTTTTATTTTTTTATTTTAGTAATGCATCTTTCATCTGATTTTATCCATGTGCCAAATTCGCTTTTAAATCATTTTTCGTTCAGGCGTTCGTTCGATGTAATTTAAATGCACCACCATATTCTCGTTTGCAATATCTTCAATTTGATTTGGGAAAAGACACCCCGAAAGAACAAAAAAATGCATGCTCTCTCTTTGTCTCTCTCTCTCTCTTTCTCTCTCTCACACACACACACCCACACACACACACACACACACACACCCAGATACACTTTCAAGTTTCTTCATGCCTTTTTTAACACAACAGTAGTGATGCCTAAATCTTTCGTAGCGGGAAAAACGGCGACCCGTTTTCGCGGTAACAGGCCTGACTCCGAGGCATTACAGCAGAGGTTCTAAAACTGGGTGCGTTTGACAGGGGTGCCACGGCGAAAATCAAGAAAAGTCGGCTATAAATTGTGACATTATTAATGAGAGAGTTATTTTAGTCCATCACAGTGTATGCAGAAATCACTATTCGTATTCGGCCCGACCGCCACTATTCGGCCGAATACCGAATAGCTAGTAGGTCCACTATTCGGCCCAGAAGCGAATACGAAGCGAATATTCGGTACAGCCCTACCTACTACCATTACCAAAACCAAATAAAGACCATTCCAAGATCAGTGGCTACAGAATCATCACCATGCAGAACACTACAGGCAAGCTTCTGGGGAAAATTGTAGCACGTAGACTTGCTGATGACTTGGAACAGCATGTCAGGTTACCATCCACACTTGGAGGATATAGACAAAACAAAGAGACATGGCTCAATGCAGCAGTCTTCGCCTGTAAAGTCTATGAAGGTTTTCAAGTGAGAGAAGAGACATGGGCAGCTGCACTAGACTTAGAGGATGCGTACAACAGAGTTCCATTTGAATACTTGGTGCACACACTCCTCCAACTGCAAATATCTCCCTTCATCACCCGCTGGGTAGCCGCAGCACTGTTTCAGAGACAGGTGATACTCAGGTGTGGTTGTTGGTCCTCAGAACCGATAACCATCAGCCCAGGATTGCCTCAAGGTTCTACGCTGTCTCCAGTGCTATTCAACGTGTACACAGTGCTGATAACTGAGCAGCAGTTGCATGGGAGTGGCAGGACCTTGTCATTTGCTGATCACCTCTTAGTATATCAACATGGAAAGATCGTTAAGAGATTGCCAAGTCAATACAGAGTGAACTAAATCGCATCTCCTCCTGGTGTGCAGATTCTAAAGCTCATGTCAACCCTGCAAAGGCCTCAGTAACGTGGTTCTCCTTGAACACGCATAAAGTGAAGGCAGACTTACCAGCAGTGGAAAGTAGCGAGGACATTTTGACGAGAACAAATCTGATGACATACCTTGGAGTGAATTTTGATCGCAGCCTATCCTTCAAAGAACATGTTGACTATGTCATAACAAAGGCATGCAAAGGCCTGTCAGCAATGATGGTTCTGGCTGCCGCTAACACTGAGCAGAGACTACTTCTGCTTCTGTTCCAGGGACTTGTACTTTCTCCCATCGAATATGCTCTTGCCATCCTCACTGTCAGCCATACTCAGATTGAAAGACTTGAGAAGGTGCAAAATGAAGCAATGCGCATTATTCTAGGGTGCACTGGAGACAATTCTTGTGTAGCAATGAGGTACCTTCTTGACTTCCCTACCATGAACTACAGGATCAAGATCTGGAGGGCTCGTGCATACCTCAAAATAAGCTCAGATCTGAAGCACCCTTTGCACAATATGCTCTTCAAGAAAAAGGGCCATAGGCTTAAAAGGAGCAAATTATGGCTGGCCAGGGCAGAGGATGACATCATGCAGGTTTGCAGCCTTACAGACATCCATCCAGGTGAGGAGTGGATACCAGAGTCTAAAGCACCCAATATTACATTCTCCTGTGTCATGATGCTCGATAGGAGTTGTCGGGAGCAGAATCCAGCTGCTGTCAATGCTGAGATATGCGCGCTTATCAGTAACAAGTCAGATTAGACAGATGTGGTGATCTTCACAAACGGGTCCTTTATACGAGGACATAAGAGTGCATGGGTATTTACAGCTCGCTCTTCAGGCAGAACAGTTAAGGAAGCCAGCGGTGCCTTCTTCGTGACCACCAGCAGTGTGACGATGGAGGTGATGGTGGTGACACAGGTTTTCATGTAGCTGGGTTCACAGGACTATTCCAGTGTGTGTGTTCTGAGTGATTCTTTGAGTATGATCTGGCGGGTCGAGGCAGGCTAGTTACGCAGACAGTGGCTTGAGTCATTGCAAAATTCTCCTTTGTGTTCAGCAACTTTCATATTCGTCCAAGGACATGCAGGCATTGTTGGTAATGAGAGAGCTGATAGACTGGCAGGTGCTGCATTAAGTGAAGATGGCCGGCCCATGGATCACGCAGACATTATCATTGCCCTTAGAGAGATAGGACCTTCTGAGGATTCTGGAAGCAACATGTCCACATCACTTCTAAGAATATGCGAATTGGGAGTAAAGATCAGCACAGCCGAGCATGAGAAGCACACTGGACGCACACAAAGTCTTGATAACCAACATAGGACTGGTACTATTAACCGCACAACGCTGATGAATATGTTGAGAGGGGAATCTTAGCGCCTATGGATGTTTCCGGAGTGCTGTGAAGATAATCTAACTCATAACTCATCTGTATACACTAACTGGCCCTTGATGGGTGATGTGGTCAACATCATGCTGGCTGAATTTACTTTCCAGGACTTTTCCTGGTACCCATTTTAGATTGGATTAACCTGGGAACCAAGGTAATGTTAATTTAATAATCTGACTCAATGTGGATTTGAACCCAAGAATTTTGGGCTTGCAGGTCAAGCGCCGAGCCACTGCACCATCAGGGCTCTCTTATTTGTTGGTAAACACGATAATATGAACACTGAGTACAGACACAGGACAGACAACTACTTCTGCATCAACTACTGGTTGTGCCAAATCACAGCCATGTCTTGTCAGGGTGATAACCACTATAAAGTACTGCTTGTATTTATTTGGTATGGGTGTCCATTCCTCACAACAGTTTATGACTTGAAGGGAAATCACCCATTGCAGTACTATCTCTGCCAGACCCAACCAAGAGTGGCCTCCTTTAAGTCTGTTGCCTTTACGTATATTCAGTTCATAATGCAGTAGGTTTGCAAGGACCTTAGATTTATATTTTGAGACATGCGTATAAATGATTACCAAAAATGTACTCAAGAAATTCGTTTTTTTTTTAGTGATTTCCGGGGATTTAATCAAGAAATTAAACTGCTGCACAGATCCATGACAGTGTTTACCTTTTAGCAACCAAGCCTCGATCTCTTGCCTCAGATCTCTCAAACCAAATATGGGCAGTGGCACGAGCAAGTGATCTCTGGAAGACTCCAAGAAAACCACCATGAGTCTGTCCAATCTGTGCGTGTTCATTCAAATCATTGTTATGACATGGCAACATTACATATGTGTTTAGCGATCAAGAAAGTAAAGATCTGGCCATGCTGATAAAATATCTATTCAGAAACAATTGTACTCTTCTTTGTAGAGTTCACTGTCTGTAAACTCCAGCAGTAGTTCTGCTTGTTCGTCTAATTCTGGACTTTAGTCTAGTTACAGAACTTGAGTTTTGCATGTACATCCATTTTACATATATCAAATATCTGTGTGCAGACTATTAGCCCCTCATCTGTCAGATATATGCACTCCAACTTTGAGGGAACAATCCCCTATTAGTCACCTTTTATGCCATGCCTGCTGTTAACGGTGCATCTTTTTTCCCAAAATGGGACACCTCAACCCACAGAAAAGAAAGACATTCATAGAGCTAGCTGCACAAATGAAATTATTTATAACACCAGATCTGAATGCTGTCGAGAGTGAAGTTTCAATCAATTAATCAGATGCCATCTATACAATAAAGGTTGGTTGTAATGTTTCTCAACCTGGTAGTCTCCTCTATCAAGTTGTCTTTACCAATGAACTGCCTGTACTATCTATTACCTCTCAAAGATGGTATGCTTCCAAAATTGAAAATTATATTAAGCGAGGTTGCTACCATAAAGTGAACCATACAACAGAGGATATCATTCTATACTATCAACTGAACCGCTGGAATGAAAAGTGATAAATTTGGAACATAAAAAAAAAGGAGAAGACAATGAACAATAAGATAATGGTCTAACAGTCTAAGAAACAAAGAGCTTTCCAGCCCCATAATATGATTAGGACAGGTCACCATCCTTTGCCTTTAGTTGTAGAATAACAGACTGAATAACAACACATCATAGTTTTGTTTCTGCATCAGGTACATGTGGACTTAGCAAAGTTGCTTGTAGGTCCAGCTACTGTGGGTGTCAAATGAGCCACGGACCAGTCTGATATACTGATCTACACACACACAAATATAAATATCTGCCAGAACCAAGTAAGGACTGTGAATCTACAGCCATGGTTAAACTGCAAAAACAGCAAGTTAAATAGGGTGTGGCACTTTGCAGGAAGCCAAAGAAGAAGAATGAACCAACACAGAAATAATGTCGTCAGTCATTACATGTTGTTAGATTTACTGAGGAGAGCATCTGAGCAATTACAGACTGAATGGTTCATTGTGCAATAAGGATGATCTGTCAACTAACTGCTGAAGATGTCCCATGAAGGTACTCTGTAAAGCAAGACATAAAAGATGTACACTTATATCAACGTTTAAGTCCAGACTGTGTGGAATTAAAGATGGGTTCTTGAAACAATGTTAACCCTTTAGAGACAACTCAGCCAATCTGTCTGCGAAACAGCAAAATGGCCAAAAAAGATGACTGGACCAATCTGTCGGCAGGAAAAGGAGCAGAACCATGTGCCAGAGGTGCCTGGAGGGCCTACATGTACATTGCTACCCAAAACATAAGTGTCAGGACTTATTCAGGCTTTATTCATTAGAAAATTTAACCAAATTGTTTATTTAAGTAAAGTCTGTCCTAAATAATAAAAAAAATTGCACGTATAAATATGCCAATACGGTGGTTAATGTGAATAAATATTGAGATATCAGTGTCATTTATGATGATTGTGTTTGTTCATTCAATTTCCTGCATGAATATATATTGTATATGTTAATTAAACACTTTGTTATAATTGTGTGTGTGTGTGTGTGTGTAAATTAAGAGAATTCCCTCCTGAAGACTCCATCTTCTTTTGCACTGAAACTCTAAATGAGACTCCGTATCCAAAGGGTTAATCAAACTTATTACTACTCCCTCTTCCGGTTCCGCTTACAACACATAATGTTATAAAGTCATGAATCATCAACATTCAATACTTTTATTAAAACCACACTTTATATAACCATTTAAACAACAGCAGTTGTGCAATTGTTACACTATCTCAGCTATAACACTTTTCCATCTTCTGAAATACACCTATTGTTTGGTTTATCATACTCTTAATCTTTGTCACACATCTTTCATCTTATGTTTAATCAAAATAATTGCAGGAACTGACTTACCATAGCATAACAATTATCACAGGACAGTATGATCACATCTACGGGTGACGTATGGTTTGCCACACATATTCCACTCTTGGCCATGTTTTCTCTGAAAATATAACAAACTATACTTTCCTGAAGGTATTATTTAAAATCAACAGATTAAATGATGTGGACATGTGTCAAAACTACCATCATACAGTGCATCATAGACAGGTCTGTCATTAGATACATTGAAAGCAGAGCTAGAGGTCAGCCATGCGAGTGATGGACAGATAGAACATCAGAGGCCATGAATACCAACATCGACACAACTGACACGAAGGCTTGCACCCAATGCCTTTTCAAAATCTAATACTGAAAAGCAGAACAGGAATAGAGGTGAGAGGTTTGATTCCCTGCATAGACACAATAGTTTTCAACTGTTTCTAGTGTTTCCTCTTTCTACTTCTTTCTATGAGTGCTGATCAATACATATTTGTTTATTATATATAATATCTGCAACGTGGCTTCTTCTAGGGTTTGTCTGGACTCATCACATTGCTGTACTTTTGTTCTGTGTTATGCAAAGTTAGCATGAACACATCAGGTGACAAACACGCCTATTGGCAGTTATCAATTTTTTTCGCCAATCCAACAGCTGCACTGTCCGGTCACTGTTCTGTATTCTCGTTGGTGATTCACTTGCTCATTTACCAAAGCATCTTCAACAACCTCACAACTCGAATCTAGATGTAATTACCTTTCTGACTGTACATCTCGTTCATACCAGCATCTTGCACTTGCAATTCCACACATCAGTATCTTGCAGTTGGTTGGCATACATTCACATCGACACCACCATGTCTCACAGCATCCCAAACAATCACACGTGGTCAGGCAGTCCGCATTCTTCACAGGCGTTCCTTGGTACTCGACCGCACACATCCGCCTCCAAACATCAACTGATTTCCTATCCTTTCTGTGTCCAAACCTTCCGTTCTCATCTCATTCTTTTCCCGTACATCTGTTCACAAAACATGGGATAATCAAGACATGCTTTCCTCACTTTTCTCTTGTTTCCCTGGCCATTTGACCTTGTTCCCTCAATAGGGAACTCTCTGGCATTTCCCTGGGATCTCACCCCATTACAATATCTCTATATATCTTTATTTCGGTGTGTGTAGTAGAGAAGAAAAAGAATATTATCTGAAACAATTTTCCACCAAGATATTCTTATCCTAGTTTTAAAATAGACACAAACACAACAGCTGAAGAACAATAACTTACTAGGCACCAAGAGAAACACCCTGTTTGCTGATTACTCTTAACTCTTTGAGTCCCAGGGGGTTTTGCATCAGAGGCCCAAGAGGGGGAATATGATTTTGACTTTTTACAAATGCGGCACTTTAGAACAAACCACACAACTGCAGCTGACGTCCAACATACACATATCATACATGAAAATAAACATAAATGGATAAGGATTAATATTAGCATACTGCTACAACAAACAATTATACTGTTAGTTAGTATTTAGTAGAGAAAACAGTGACTTAGTTTGAGAGGTGAGTAAATTATGAACAAGTTTTTTCCACTTACCCAGAAGCTGATCCCAAAATTCTTGATACAGTATATCCAAAATGCATCACAAAGGAAGGTACACCACTTATAAGTATGCACAGCCAATATTAAAGCAAAATGTGCAATAGTTGTTGTTCCATAGCAATTTTAATAACACTACCATAACACGTCAAAATATATTCTCCAGTGGCACAAACAGTGACTTTTCTAAAAACAATTGAATTCCTCACATAGAAAAAACTGTAAAGGCACTGTAAACATGTCAACCTGTTCATAGATATATATCTATGGTTTTAGATGATATGGATAGTAGTACTAGAAGCGCTGACATTTGGACTAGCTGGTGTCGCGTTACGAGGTGCTTCTCTTGTGTTGCCATGGCAGAATTAGTCAGTTTTGTCCTCTTAGCAGGAGGTAAATTACACACACATTCCTCATCAAAGCTTGACTCGTCAATGGTTTGGGGAAATTTCACTATTTTACTATCATTATCCAACTCCACATTACTTTAATCGATCCACTGTTTTATCAAATTTGATGATTCTAAAGCAGTAAATCGCTTTGATGGGCGTGAAGACGATGACTGATCGGACATATTGTTTTCAGACAATTGTTTGGTAACGTAGTAGACCACACAAATATCGATTTAAAGCGTTAAAAACTCACCAGACCCAAACGAATGCACTCCACGTGTGTTCACTACACACTTGAGAACTGGAAAGGAAGTTCAAATTGAGCGGTTCGCGTGTAATTACCGATAAGTGGTAAATTAAAAACTGTCACACGTCATGCGCTATTTGGGCCGCCAAGTAGTAACAAATGAGCGCGTGATGCGTTCCTTGGGACTCAAAGAGTTAACCACAGTTTTCACAAAAAGTATAAATTATATTCACTAACCGTACCTCGACAAAACTCAACTGTATAATTTGGGTTCAAAATATTTCATTATAATTCTAAATGGCCTGGAAGCCAAATCAAATCAACAAATTACCAGGTATTATAAATGAACAAGAAAATGAATACCTGTTGTGGTATCTGATGACACAAGAGAAGGCTCTGCACAGAATTCTGAAAGACACAAGGCTTGCCCATCGATATAATTTGCGCTTAAGACTGAAAAAAATTGTCAGTTAAAAACAAGTAAAATCACTAATTCATTTAAATATTAACATTTTCCTTCATTAAAAATTTACAGAAGCAATTTACAACAGAAATAAAATATGTAAATAAATGGTCGCAATTAGTTATCTAAGAATAAATAACAATTAGTCCCAGGTTTAATTTCAGTAGTGGAAATGCAGTTGTAAAAAGAATATTTATATTATGTATGATTCTAACAACACTGATAAGACCAGTTGTCCTATATGCCTCTGAAACATGGAGCACAGCCTAAAGGGATGAATCCTTATTACAAATTGTAGATCTAATGATCTTCAGTAATTCAACTCCCTTATGTACAGACCAAAAAGACATTGCAGAGAAATTATCCAGGCAGACCTAAAAACACTCGGAGTTACCAACTGAAAGAGAAAGCCACTGATAGAGATAAATGGAGGGGGTGATATCTGCAGCAATGAACCTAAGGGCTCAAAATTCTGAAGAAGAAGAAAAAGATGAAGAGGAAGTTGATTCTTGTACATACACACAGCCAGATCCTCATGTTAGTGAGTCCACGCACTGTGTTGAGATTCTCCTTATCTGATCTTAGAGAAGATACTGAAATCCCGTACGGAGGAGAATGATGCAGCAGGAAGTGTCCGAGGGCTGTGGTGCTACTTGAGACTCAGGAAGAACGGGAAGATGAGTTTTTAACCAGACGACAACGGGAAACCTCAGTATGGATAATCTTCACTGGCTGGAGGAACGGAGCTAATGTGGCCTTGTCCTAAATACTGTGATACTGAATCTTTACCCATAAGAACCCGGATCTTAGAGAGGAGACTGGGGAATTTCTGATAGTGTTCACGAGAAAAGAACTCAATCTCTTAGAAAATCTAGACCCAACCAGACAATGTAAAATATTCATATGTGAACTGTCTTACGTTTGAGCATCTGCTGTGTAAAAAGTTTAATATGTAATGAGATATGACGAATGATAGTTTTTTTTTTTTTTATTTAAAAAATATATATAATAATAATAATAGTTACATACCTGCTTTCTCTCAAATATCCAATAAGTACTGTGAGCACAATCAACATCACAACACCAAAGATGGCAATCATAAGTCTGTAAATATAATCAGTAGATGGAAATGAATAATAAACACAATTTTGCACATTTTGCTGTTTCTCATCAGCTGTATTACTACAGTATTTGTTAACATATAATGAAGAAGAAAACATAAATTCTTTCCACTGAAATCATGTTGTAACTTACTGTCTGGCATATTTAAATGGAAAGTATATTTCATTTATGAGGTCTGTATTGAGTTCAGTAATTTCACTTATTCATCACAAATCATAGAATCAAATTTTGAATGCCACTAAATTCAAAGATAGAAAATTAAAAACTAAATGAACACAGATACATGACACAAGAAGATCCAGTACCCACCTGAATGGAAGCAGAATTACATAGCGCACAAAGCAACCAACACACCAAAGAGCTGTTAACCTCACACTGAAAAAAAAGGGGAAAAACAAACACAAGTGTAAAGCCAAAAATAAATATTTTGAGTCGTCCATAGTCTTAATGTCAGTTGAGGTTTAAACTTCACTGCAATCAGATTTCCACACACTTGTTCTGTTCCTGTGCCAGTGGAAATCAAATGAAATGTACCTCACTGTCGCATTTAAAAAACTGGTTAACAAACAAACAGTCCCTGAACAATCCGGAAACATGATCCCTCAGTAAATGCAAAGTTGCTAGAGGTGCAAAAGTGAACAGTCGCCAAGAGAAAGGCAGTTTGTCGTTGATCCAAGTACTCAGGCACGATGAGTTGGCTACTTTACATACATAGAATTATTACATAAGATAATTACACCAGCTCACATGTAAACTGGCGACCAGCCATATTGAATACCCAATCATTAATACACAACTGCGCATTCCTTAAGTACAAACTAATTAGTACAGAACTTGAAAGACTAATTGTCTAAATCTTTAATGTGCACAATGTGAACATGATCAGGTAAATCTATTCTTTACATTTTTAACCAAGAAGGTAACTACCCAGAGATCATAACGGGATCACTGAATTTGTTTGAATAAATCTGGCACTTTCTGAACTAAAAGCTGACAACATAACACCATCCACAGTGGGGAACGAACCACAATACTTGAGGGTCATGAAATTGTTAACCACATTTGCTTGTCTCTAAGCCATGACAAATCAATAAAGTTTACTGAAATACCATAATGTTTTATTGTATTTTATCTCAGAAATATAATAATGAAAACAAGACACATACAGTGAGGACATTTTAAAAGTATTACTCTCATCTTTACCTCATAAACTGATGAGGTTTCTGGGTCCTGGTGAGAAGATTCCATGATGGCAATTCTGAAACAGAATTCAAATATGCTAGCAGCTTGCTAATTAAATTAACAATATGGCTAGATTTGATGTGTCCTCAAAGCAAGTTGCTATGAAATGAACAACTTAAATAGCAAAATACCATAACATACTTATGAATATCTGTACATGCTTTTTGTGTGTGTGTGTGTGTGTGTGTGTTTTTTTTTCAATTAAATAATTTGGCTTTTACACATGGTGAAAGAAAGCATATGGCAGCTAGGATGTGCCAGAGGGTATTGAGTAATTACAGCAAACAACATTATTAAATGGATACTTCTACTTCAGTAGATAGTGAAGATTCTTCTTCTTCATCTTCTTCTTCTTCTTCTTCTTCTGCTGCTCCTTCTTCTTCTTCTCTTTTTCTTCTCCTCCCTCTTCTTCTCCACCTCTTTCTCCTCCTTTGTCTCCTTCTTTTTGTTCATCTTCTTCATCATCATCAAGTGCTATGCTGACTGGCAGTGGGAATCATGCTTCTCTTCATCTTGTGATCTGCAACAACATGCATTAGTTTGTGTGCTGAAGCTCTAGCATGCCATGATAACAAGCTGCTAAGAAACTTCTTTTCTCATTGTCTTCCTTTCTCCCTCTTTCCATAATTCTTTCTCTTGTCACATGTTTAGGTTTGCTTCTTTTCACAAAATGACCAAAAGTTATTATGCCCTTTCTAATGTTTGTGATAAGCTGTCTTTACGTTTGAATTACAATCAGATATAATTTTATCAGCAAACACAACATGGTAGTGACTTACCCTCAGCAGAAAAGCGTTTCGTTACACTGTCTTCAATAATTGCCTAAGCAAAGAATTAATTAAAAACTGTCACCACAATGGCAATAAAGAACAAGTTTATTCAGCTCACATTAATTCTTTCAGTACCAGGATATACATATATAACTTAGCCAATTTTTTCCTAGAAAGTTTTTACTTTCACTCCTGCAGTCCCATAAGGTTATAGCTAACGTTTGAGTCAGGAAACCATTTAAACAATAAAATAATAGGTGTGCTACATTACAGGGGCTTTATACACAATACATTGCAGGAGATCAATTTTTGTTGGAATGCTTAGTATGCCTATGCTAAATTTAGGTTATACAACATATATAACATGTTGACTGATGCATATGAGTCAATTCTGGTCACACATAGTTCTCTGCTTGGTATATAAAGAGTTAAGTTATACATATTGTCACGGAGTGAACAACCAAACCTTACACTCTGGACTATTTGTGACGTTGACGCCCCTAGCGGGCAGGTCACATTTCAAATTTAAACCCGTCCGGTGGGTATATAGTCCCTAATATTGATATATACCTCTATCTGGTGGAATAAATATTTCTAGACCCTCTAGTTGTTTTGAAAAGTCTACATTTTCAAACTTACAACTGTGGGATAGATATTTTCTGGATTAATATTCAGAATTCATGGAAGCATTTTTACTCCTCGGCGCATTAATATTGCGGGCTACTTTCTTTGAAAGGACGCCAGCGTACTGCGTCATTCTCTGTCTGACTGCCAAGAAGAACAGATGTTATATATGCTTTGAGGAGGCAGCTTTTGGTGTCTAGGACATTTCCTAAGCTTGGGTAAGTTGATTATAGTATGAGTACCATGATATATGTCTCTTTAAATTTGGCAGCTGCTGCAGGGAGGAAAGATTCAGCTGTGTGACCGCCCAGAACTAGGCCGTGCTTGGTGTCCAGACACTCAATCCCCTGAAATCAAACCTTTCCCTTCCCAGGCTAATAGTTTGTGCTCTACATGACCCACACCACCATAAAGATATTAAACCCAGCAAGTTAATTATTCTCTAACCAGCCAACAGAGTTTGTGTCGATTAGTGGACATATTGAATTGGGTCACACTTCAGCCTACAAGACGCTGTGACGTCAGAGGTTATTTTTAGCACAACGACACTGGGTGTGCAGTGGGCAGATTGTGGAGGTATAAAATATATATGTGAGAGAGAGATGGGATGTATATTTACAAGTGCTGAGGTGGGCGAGGAGAGTTGATGTTCTATGTTTGATAGAGTCTATCTGTCTCCACTCTGGTACTCGACTCTTGTCCCTGTTACTGACTGAACAACAGAGATGATATTTAGAGATTTATACTGTCTCATTATCCTAAGAGCTGTCCTCTGAATGATTACTAATGTGGATGTTAATAAACTGAGCTTGACATGTAACCCTTGAGATGACTGCTAATTCTGAGTTCCTTCTTGATACAGGATGATATCTCCTTGGAGGCCAGGCAGCGAATCAGCTGTCCACAAAACCACCAACAAGGAAGTCACCTATGTCTAAGCCAGTGGTGGGCATCCGATTGTAAACCAAACTTTTGTCATCCAGTAATGAAATCCTCCAGTTGGTCTACAGACAACATTATGGGTGTTGCACCTTCACCATCATTTATCCGGTAGCTTGTTTGTGCCTCAAGTGACGTCTTGGTAACTGAGATCCTCTCCAGGAGCTGAGTGTATCTCCAGTGTTTGAGTGTCTAGTGTGAGACTGTCTTCAACGTAACAACAGAGTGACTGAACATCCCCAGCAAGTTCAAGAAACCAGGGATTCAGATAAGTGTGGTCAATCATTGGTTTATTGCCAGGCTTCACTGTTAATCGTCCACATGATCATGAGGATGATCTAGGCGGACCTTGGGAATCTCTTATACATTCAGTCAGATCGGTTTGGAAGTTTTGGTCCTTCATATCACTCTGGGTTCTTGAAGTTCTTTGCTGATTCTTATATAATGTATGTGTTGCATTTATTACATGTTCAGTAAGTTTCATTATTGACTTGAGTGTCCTTCATTCCCTGTTCAAACTGTCTAGCTTTTATGTTTGTGTGATTAGTAAGTGTAATCTGTGTTAACATGGCTGTGATAGTATACTATCATAGCCTGGGGGCTATCTTTTTATAGTAGTGGGGGTGTCCAGCCAAGTTGCGCCTAGGATTATTAGATATTCTGTAGTGCCAGAACTTGAGTTTCCCTACTCCTGAAATAAGTTGAGCGTATATTGGCCACGGGATATCCCTTAGACCAATACGAGCCGACGCCTCAACATTATTTATTTCAGAGTGCTGTTGGTTCTTAAGGAGAAATCCTTAAATCAGGCACGCGACACGAGCGGTATGTGACACATATTTAAATCAGAATATTTGTTAAAAAACAAATAAACTCTGAGAAAAAAGCAGCAAAACTGACACTTCCAGCTGGATCAAATTTCCTGTAAATGTGACTTTTTCTATTTGTCTATAGGTTTACAAGATGCACAATTAATTTTCTCAGCTGTTTTCATACCTGTGCAAAAGTTTTGGAGGTCGGGATATGAATATATGAACTTAAAATAGCATTTGGGGGTTTTCCTTTGAGTAAAATTGTTTTTTTTAGAGTCAAGTAGAAGTCACACTTTTCTGTAAGCCTCAGTGATATAGATCACAGAGTCACAGCAGTAGTCACCCGACACATATGGTTTGAAGGTCCTGAGGAACATATCCTATTTTATGCTTCACCCTTTTCATGTTTACTGATTACTCCATTCACATATCTTTGCAAATTTCAAAAACATTTTGTTTTTCAAATGTAGAGAAATAGATTTTGAACAAATTGTTTAGTGACACATGCAAATTTGTTGCTTTGTTTCTTTTCAATGAATTTTTTTGGGGAATTTCAAGGGGGTCATAGGCCTGTTTTTTAAAATGTTACCGAGCTGAGAGGGTGAAAGTAGCAATAGCAGCGGTGTGGGTTAAAGTAAAGGTTAGATGTAATATGAGAAGTTAAACAATATGTATTATCCAAGTAGAACCCAAAAACACATGGTGAATTGACAGAAGTGAGTTAAGAAAGATACATCACGAACATATTTCTGATAAATCAGTTATAATCAGTAAAAAAATAAATTATAACTTGAAGCATCACCACTCTACATTGCTTACAATTCTGTTATTTTTTATCATGCCCTTTAAACACTGTAGATTTTTTTTCAAACCAACAAGCATTCAATGCGTGATTTGGTCATCACCATGTTTGCTACCTATACTTCCCAGGTATTTCTTTGTGCCTATTTTAGGCTAGATATGGAAATCTAAGCCATTTATTTAAAATATCTGCCCACTGTGGATTCGAACCAAAGATTTCGGACAGGAAGGCAAGTGTCTAGCCTAGTAACTCCCATACATGTGTCTTTTAGTCAGCACAATTTGAGGTGAGACATAGAATTCTCAAAAGCAACACAAATACTATCCTGATATACAGATGTGAAACACAGACAGTTGGTCGATTAGTGGAAGATTTTGTGGAAGCGGCAGAGATGTAGTTTTATGGATGAATGATGAGAATAGCCAGGACAGACACACAAAAAAGTCTATTGACAATTTCTTGAAAGACAGTGATTTATGAAAAAAACTGATAATCTGCATAAGAAGGAGACAATCTACATTGTTTGATCATGTCATGAAAAGGAGAAACCTGGAGTACATCATGATAGTGCGAAAGCTGGTGGGGAAAAGAGGCAGTTGGAGACAGAGAGAGAAGATGCTGGAAGATCATCTGGAAGATCATCTGGAAGATCATCTGGAAGATCATCTGGAAGATCATCTGGAAGATCATCTGAGTCCGAACTGACTGAAAGTACACAGAAGGTTGTGCACAGACTTGGCTACCAATGCCACACAACATGTACTGTAAATAGAAGAAGAAGCCATACAAACTTGTTACACATAGTCTAAGAAGGAAAGGCAACGAGGAAGGGAACTGGCCCCTCCACCTCATATGCCGTAGCCTGGAATCAAAAAAGCTATTCCAAGGCAGTATCTGTTTGTACAGACAAAAAAACCATGTCTTGAATCTGAAGAAGAAAAAAAAAAACAAATAACACACAGTCATAAAAAATATATCTACCTCCATTCCACATTTAGAAAAATATAATACATCTGAAAGCTCAAAATCTTTTTTCGAAGACCTCCACTCTGGTTTCTCAACACCTTTCGTGGCAGACAGGAAGAAATCCTTTTCAATGATCTGGTCAGCTGCAAGTGATAATAGAATAATGAATACACAATCTGACTGTCATTTTATTGTATTCATAGTGTACTCGTATTAGGTTAAAATGCTGAAATGGACAAAGATTATATAAATCATAGTATCTTTTTAAATGCTATCTTCATGGAACAATCAGCGGGTCTTTTACGAGCGTCGCTCTCATCACAGCATGCCTAGAAGTATGTCATTCTCCAGCCCTATAGGCTTTCATAGCCAACGCATCTTCAGCGTCTTGTGTCCACCTTCACGTAGGTTATGCCATTCCCTCCATATATAAAAGCTTTTTCTTTCTATCTGTTAGATCTCTCGATTTTAAATGCACATTCCTTATATAAAGTTGTCGTGGGGAAAAACATTCCTGCTGATGATTTTCACCTAACATTAATCTAAGAAATTCTAGAAAAATATTGAAAAGAAAAGAAAAAGAGTGTAGGAGGATGAAGATTTTCACTACGATTGGTGCATAGACACTTCCCTTTAACAATACAGTCCAAACACCACAGATAAAGAAAGTGTGTGGTATGCGCAAAAAGCAATGCGAAACCATATACATGTGCAAGGACTGTGATGTGGCACTGTGTGTTATATCACACACAAACATATTATTAGCAATATTATAAACTATGTAATTGCTCACTGTAGTGTTTTGTGTTTGATATATAAGTTTCTAGAGTTCCCTTTTCTAAAGGAGATATTTACTGGCGTCTGACTTATCAACATACACCCCAACCACACACCTTCCTAGGGTTTTTATTTTAGGTGCACAAATTTTAGCCGGCGCGTCTTCTGCTTTTGTAGGAAAAAAGTATTCAGCACAGCAGGGAAGGTCAGCATTCATATTGCTTAACACTAGGTAGACAGCTACGGCTGGGTATGTACAGAGAAAGAGTTTAAAAAAATCTCAGTCTGGATCTCAGACCAACAATGTAGAAGCCTCCCCACAAAAAATTAGGGCACCTATTCCAGCTACAGCAGCTGAATGTAACCTGCAGTCTTACAAGGGTAAGGAAGCTGTGAGTGAGTTTCCTATTCAGTGAGGGATGGAGATTTTTCTGTCGAGAGGGGAAAATACAAATCTTATTTCCCTTGTCTTTAACCACCCTCCAAGTGGTTTATACAGGCTGTAAAGACTACCATCTGGGTTCATCTAGCATTCATCACAGCATTTTGGACAAGCCCATATTAGCTCCGCCTCCCTTCTCAGCGAAGAGTTTCTATACTGGCAGTACCTGTTGCAATCTGGTTTACCCCTAGATCACCATGTGTCCTTTTGTCCAGTAACTGGTTTTCATTTTCTTCCATTTTACTTGTTACTTTGTCCAACAGATGAGAGATGACCTCAGCCTTGTGCAGTCACAGTACACCCCCTAAGTGAAGCCAGCTGTTTAAACTACCAGTTATGATATTACCTAAATCAATGATTTAAACATTAACAGTATTTCAATGTTTCAGCATTTACCTTCATTTTCTTGTTTATCCGAGATTCTCAATACCTTTTGCATCTGTCTCATTACTAACTTCTTCATCATTCTCATTATCAAGCTCCTCTGATGGGTTTGCCACCTGGACTTTCACTTTGCAAGCCTTCACACAAAAAAAATAATAATAATATTAGGTTCGCAAATACAAATCTCTTCGGGAATAAATTATTATTTTTTTTTTGGGGGGGGGGGGGGGGGGGGGGGGTGGGGGGGGGGAAAATAATAAAACAGCAGATCAAAGTTTAAAAATCAACTAAAAACAATATGTAAAAACCACTACTGCCCATTATCATCATGTAATATGTTCTCGGCACAACAACGCTTTCATCATTAAAAAGGAAATCAGGACTTTTGCACCTAAATATTACATACAAAGGCTTAGGATCATTTAAAAAAACTCATATTCTACCAGACTTTACATAGAAGAAAGCTTGTTGATAAACAGCACTGTCTCTAAATTAAACCACAAACAATTAGAACAGGTATAGCACATGAAAACCTTGAAGAAGACTGGGGTCTATCATTTTGTTATACACAGTCAGTATTATTACAGGAAGAGAGAATCACTCTTACTGTTATTTTCTGATGCAGAATGCACTATAATTACATTAACAACAGCATCTGCACAAAGAATCGGAGACCCCTAGGCCACAAAAGTACAGGAGGCAGTAGAATGTGCAAGGGACTGAGTCATTTCTGCAGACTGAGATAGGAGCGACATGTTGCAAAATGGATATGCTACATGATGATGACTTTATATGATCAAATATTACTCAAAAGGCTAGTCGTTAGTTAATCGAGCTTCCAAATTCACTGCACACAGGTCACTCTAAAACTGCTGTTTTTTGGCTAGTTAGTTAATCTTTCCTCTTGAGCCTAAAGTGGCACATAGGGCAGAGGACATGGCTCTCCATGTCTGGCGGTTTGTTGCCACCTGTTTTAGGTTTTGGATGTTCATCAGGCCCATGGTTGAGCCTTCCCTGATAATGGATCTGGGCAGGATCTCTCTTGGTCTTCCCCGTTTTCTTTTCCCTTCCAGCGTCCCTATGAGGCCTTGACAGAAAAGTCTGGTCTTATCTATTATGTGCATGGCTGACGTAGTTCCAGTGAAGCTTTCTTATAAAATTAGATAAACTATCTTGTTTGGTTTGTCCATAATCTGTCCAGTGGAGATTACCTATTCATCTAAGACATTTGTTCTCAAAAACTGTCTAAATTTTTATCCAGAGCTACTATTGCTTTCCAACTCTCAGATCCATAAGTAAGCACTGGAATCACGCAGGAGTTAAAAATTTTAAGTTTTGTGTTACCTGAATTTCTTTGACCTCCATATGTTTGACAGTCTGTTTAAGGCACTAGATGCCAGTGCGATTCTTGTTGATATTTCTGGCATTGAATCCCCTGTAGATGTCATCTTACTCCCTAGGTATGTAAAGCTGTCGGCTTTTTCAAGACTGTGACTGTTTAATTTTATGTCATCTAAAGTATTGGTAAGATCAACATTTTTTTGTTTTTGAGATGTTAATTGCCAGTAAAAATCACATAAAATGTCCTTCACTGTCCCATTAAAAAAAACTTGTGATAAACATATCCCTCAGCAAAAATTTGAAGCTCACACACACAAAGGAAATGCATAAAGTAAGGCAAACCATCAATACACTATATATATATATATATATATATATTAGTGCTGTACCGAATAGTGATTTTGACTATTCGGCCAAATACGAATAGTGGACCAACTATTTGGCTGAATACGAATATGAATAGTGAATCATCATCATCAGGTGCTTTGCCGACTGGCATGGGCGACTATGCCTCGCCACAATCTGCGATCTCCTGCAGCATGTATTAGTTCGTGTGCTGACACACCTCTATGCCATGCAACAAGACTGTCAAGAATCTTCTCTCGTTGTCTTCCTCTATCCCTCCTTCCACATATCTTTCCAGTGGTCACCACATGTTCCATTTTCCCTCATCTTATAACATGGCCGAAAAATGATGACTGTCTCCTTCTGATGTCCGTGAGTAGTTGTCTTCGGGCTCCCACCTCTATCAAAACCTTTTGGTTGCTTTTTTTGGCTGTCCAAGGTATTTTGAGCATTGTTCTGTAAAACCACATCTCTGAGGCCCTAAGAAATTGTTTGGCCTGCCTACCGATTGTTCAGGACTTACAGCCAGATGTTAAAACTGGATGTATGTAGCAAGCAAGAATTCTTTTTCTAACCTTCAATGACAAAGACATATTGCATAAGATGTTCTTCATTTTAAAAACTGCAGTTTTTGCCTGTCCTATTCTGTTTCTTATTTCAGTAAAACATCTTCCATCTGATGTTATCCATGTGCACAGATACTTTTTTTTGTACATGTCCCAAAATAAAACCATTGACTTTTATTACACATTTAGGAATAATTATTTTCTTTGATATCACCATTACTTCTGTCTTCCCACTATTCAAACTGAGGCCCATTCTTCCACTTTCGTGTATGAAATAGATCTTAAAAAAAAAAACATCAATAATGTCAAACGTATGCTGAAATTTTACTTCACAAAATGTAGTACAGAATAATAAACATTTAAAAACATTTCATGTTTGGCATCCTTCAGTCAGTCAGTCTGTGGTAACTAATACCTAGGAATGAAAGTATTCTTAGTTTTATAACAAGTAACTAAACTTGTAAATTGTCACTGACAGCTTAGTTAATCCATGAAAGCGGCATTAAAAACAATTGTTATATGTTTTCAGCATTAAGGCAACTTCTTGTCTCACTGAAGGTATTTCCAGCTGTACTGAACAGACTTTCACTTGGTACGCTCGTAGGTTGTGCACAAAGGTAATGCTTGACAGTATGAACCAAGATGGGAAATCTTGATATGTTTATTTTCCACCAGTCCAGAAGCGGGTGTGAGGTAACCACTATTCGTATTCGGCCCGACTGCAACTATTCCGCTGAATACTGAATAATTATTAGGTCCACTATTCGGCCTCGAAGCGAATACAAACCAAATATTCGGTACAGCCCTAATATATATATATATATATATATATATATATATATATATATATATATATATATATATATTTATAATGTGTTTTTGAGAAACTGGAAAATGTGAAAACTAGGAAGATGTGTGAGACAGAAATATATTAAGAAAACAGCAGAAGATTCTTTAGAGCCTTTTGTCGTGGCGTGGAAGGAAGTGTGGCAGCACACGAACTAATACATGCTATTGGAAATGGTAGGCTGTGGGGAGACACGCCAGCGGGCAAGGCACTTAATGATAATGACATTTAGTATTTATTATCTGAAGACAAAGCATATTGTTATATCATCGTGATACATAGTAACAAAACTCTTTTAATGTTGCTATGTCACACCGACATAATAAGTTATTTACTGCAAAACAACAGACAAAACTAAAGGATCGAGGTGTATAACCATATTTTACAAATGCTCTACTACCAGACAAACTACTCGAAGCATTCTTTACCTCAAATATCCTCAGCAACAGGTCGACATACCACTTTCTAACCCCGATCGACTTGCCGCAAGTAGCCAGAGTAATCACCAGGGTGACGACAACGATAATCGGCAAAAACAGCAACGAAAGCGCAGCCATTAGAAAATGTTCCCCCATGGCAAGAAGACTAGGAGATCTGGATAATAAATTAATAAATTCAAAGAGTTGCTGGAGCCAGCCCCAGCCTCTCTAGCATGCAGACGTCTGTTGTTGGTTGTTCGTCTTCCGCTATGAACACTAAGGTCAAGGTGCACCACGGGTTAAGGTCATTATTGTTCGTTCTTATTGTTAACCCATGTCGGCTCCGTGGCTAAGTCGATGCGAACACTTCCCATGCGCCTTGCGTTAGTTTAGACAGTGGTATCAGGGGGCCGACCGTCCAATGGCAATGGCGAACTACTGGACGTAAATGTGCCTAGAGAAACCACACAACAGCCAGGGGCTGCTGGGGTTGGTTCTGCAACGTCCTGTAAAGGATACACAACTAACCTTGTTATTAACCCATGCTGGTACTATTAACATATTGATTCTTCACTGGTCACTAAAGAATGCGACGGATCAAGTGTGGGAATCCCCAGTGGAGTAATGTCAATTCCTGATTCATTCATTGTTAGCCCGCCATGACTCTGCTGATAAATAATAACATTTTCTATTATTTTTTTTATATTCCGTCTGCCTCACCTAAAAAAGTTATACAATTATTCACAATTTCAAAAGACAGGAATATTAAAAAACACATATGTTCTTCTTTGCGTTCACCGACGTTAACCTCTGACAAAACTCTGGTGGTTCGTCCACTTCTAGACTTTAGTCCTGTCCCAGAACTTGAGTTTTGCGTGCACATTCGTTCTCCGGATCTGACTTATTTGTATGCAAACTGTTAGTATCTCGCCTCTCAGGCAGATGTAAATCGACTTCGAAGGAAACAGTCTTTATAAGTCAACTTATACGACATGTTGAGGGGTTAATTGTTTTAACAACAGAGCAACATCATTGCACAAGGGTAGTAACCCCTAAATGTTCCGATCTACTTCTAACTCAAGCCTGAGTCAGAAGAATCTCAGCGCTTTGCACGAACTCCGTAGTACCGGCGAGGATCCTGAACTACTTTTGGGTAGAATTGTAACTCTAAATTTCCCCCTGGCAGCACCGTTAAGCTACTCTTTTTCATTTCCAACTGCAAATGGATTTTTGTACGTGCGCAACCATACACACGGGCGTCTGATCTTACTACTCTTAGACCAAATGAAATTACTAGAAGTCCATGTGAAAAAATCCTAGCCTTCACCGGGGCCTGAAACCGGGACCTCCAGCACTCGAGCACTCGAGGGGGACGTCATGCCTCGAGACTACTCAGCCCCCCGTGTACGACATGTTTGTTGGTTAGGGGAGGGTGGCGGAAGTGTTCTTTTCACCCAAAACTGGAGCTCTGGAACCCACACGAAAAACTATATAAATAGACAACTTTCTTCAAGAGCGATTTTCTCCACTAAATGTAATTACAAATTCCCTGTAAATGTGTTTGCTTATAGCTACATTTCACATTACTTTAGTTCTATTTTTTTATTTATTTGCCCAATATCATATTACTTGTTATTATTACTATACTCCTTGAATATGATTAAGAAATTGGGATTAAGCCCCTTGAGGTCTACTGGCTCCGCTAGTAATAGTAAAAACTTTTTAGGTTCGAACACGGCCGACTAGAGCATTATTCTTAGATCGTGGTTTGAACAAGCTACAGAAAAGCCTCCCTGTGACTAAACGAGTTGGAAAGCGTTATAACATACTGAACTTTGACCTCAGTCTACAGAATGATGACTGCTGAACTCTGATCATTTTAAAAGCATGAAAAATTCACCCATACGTCATATTAGTTTTTAAGCCTACGCCAGAAGTGTCTGATATAATATTTGGTTTTATTTTTATTTTGGCTTATTACCCAACAATCATGGGTTGTTGGTGTACTTTGTAAAAGCTGAACAGTCAAAGACTAAAGTAACGGAGAGGGGCGACGACATATTATGACACAAATAGTTGTAGATAAGATAAGATAGAGTACATTTTACATCACACTAAGAGCACGTCTGTGAACTTAAAACCCTAGGGTAAGTCAGGCAATAGGGGAAATGAGCTGTACTTTTTAATGGGGTCATTTCTTCTGGTTTTGAGCATGCGTCGATAATGGTTCAATAATCTTCTGTGATCTAATACTTTGATAGCTGGTTTTGCTTGTATTATTATTTGTCGCCTATCTTTTTAAGTTGCCTATATAATCTTTCTCTGGAGGAAAAAAAATCCAATATGAAGCACTTTATTTTGCTTGGAATCATAGGTTACATAAAGATTGGCTAGCGACTTCGTTACAATTTTTTTAAGGAGCGCAGCAGGCTCGTGGCAGCTGTTATAACTTTTGATTTGGATGGAAACGATCCCTAAAAACTGACCAGCCTGAATATGGAGTCACAGCAGCTAAAAAAGACAAGGGAGCAGGAAATGGCCCTCCTTTTTTGTGGGGGGTGGGGGTGTTCGCTCTGCTCTTCGTCTAGTTGGGTGAGACACATGTAAGGTAGATTTTCCGCTGCGTAGTCGTTCAATACATTTAACGCCATATGTGTACCAGAGGACTGAGTGGGGAGGGATGGAAAGTTCCAGTTGTTTCTTCGGGATGGTATGTTTAACAGTCATATTGTGTTAGATCCAGGTCTCAATGTATATTTTGATTCAGAGTAGTGGCTGTAATTCGCACACCTGGTCTATCTAGGTGGGGTCTGTGTAGTTATATGTTTATAGTTAGATGTTAGACGACAATTGCAGCTCTGTTCACTAAAAGATGGTTCGTTCAGGTATTATTTTTATTGTGTGTGTTTTTTTTTTTACGTTATAATTTATTTACTTATGTCGGCGTAGCACGTGCTTGCGGTAGTTAATTGAACAAAGAAAGTTCCTGTAAGTTTTTACTTACATTTTTTGTTAGTTAGTGTGCCTGGTTACTGTTATTGTTAATTAGACTTCATACAGGACATATCAGGGATAAAACACGTTAGATCTTAGTCCCCACCTAGTGAAATTTTTGTTTCTTGTTACTGAGGCTTTGTTTTTTAAATATTTTTGATTTATTTAGCCTTCATTCGTCTTTCAATGAGCGTTTGGCAGCAATATCTGTGCTTATGGTTCCAACACACCCGTTTTCTGCAAACTTTTTATTCGCTACTAGTGCTTCCAGCTATACACCTCCACTACCCTAACTGGTTAAGGGTTATGTTATATTATGTTATGTTATTCGTTTGATTATTATTTTGTGTGGCCAGATTTTTACGTAATTTCTCTGTTAGTACCATCAATAGAAATTTATTATGGAAAGTTCTTGAAAACTACGGTATAAATGGAACAATTTTAGATTGTGTTAGGGCTATTTATAGACAAAGTGAAAGCGCCATTAGAACAAGAGCTGGCATCACAGACTGGTTCCCAGTAACATCAGGAGTAAGACAAGGTTGTGTATTATCACCTTTACTTTTCATAATATTTATGGACAATATTAATAAAAGACATAACACCAACAGATGTCGATAAACAGGAGGACTTCAATGAGCTGCTCTTTGCCGACGATCAATGCCTATTTCACAGTGATAGTAAACAGCTGCAAGACCACATAAACCTACTACACGACAGTTGCCTCAAGCATCATATGAAGATCAATACTGAAAAGACAGAAGTCATGAGCATAAGTAGAGAGCAACAGACCATCTACATAAAGATTCTAGATCACAGCCTAAAACAAGTGCAAGAATTTAAATACTTGGGAAGTATCTTTACATTCAATGGTAAAATAGACAGAGAGATCGAAGCAAGAATCCAACAAGCCAACAATGTCGCATACCAGCTTGCCCCAATTTTAAAACACCCTGCTGTCCCAGCTGAGATAAAAAGACTAATTATAAATACAATCTTTATACCGACATTAGGTTATCAATGTCAGACTTGGACATTAACAAAAGAACACGAGAGAAGACTAACCACCTGTGAAATGAGATGTTTGAGAATGGCTGCGAATAAAACCAGAAGAGATCGAGTGAGAAACGATGTGATTACAAGAACTATTGGAACCATACCCATCGTTAAATTTATTGAGAAGCAAAGAATGAAATGGTTTGGTCACCTAATGAGAATGGAACCAACGATGCCATCATCAAGAGCATACAACATGAAAATCGAAACACCAAGAGGCAGGGGAAGATCAAGAAGAAGATGGATTGAAGGAGTTACGGACAACTTGAGACTTCATAACATCACGGCATATGAAGCGACTGAGCGCGCCCTGGCTCGGTTGCCGATCATCTGATAGACTGCGACGCCTAGCGGCACAAGCAGATTTTGACAAAAGAAGAAGAAGTACCATCAATCGTATCTTACAAGTATACTGTGCTCATGTGTATTTGTGTGTGGGTGGGGGAAAAGGTGCGAGACTAACCAACGAAAGCGTGGTGAGTTGCAACGTTTAGAAAGAGTTAACGTGCGCTAGCAAATAGTTCAGTACCTTGAATCTATAACACTTTAATATATAAAGTAAGCCTACTTAAGTTAAGCAAGTCATTCTTATCAGACGCTGTGCAATCTTATCAAACGAACTGTTCCAAGATTATTGACATAGATTGTAGGCATACTCCACTTCGCTGCAGCGGCAGTTTGTTTTTATGAATGGTATTTCCAATAGCAAAGCGTTTAAGACCAAGAACGCGAAATCGCACTACGCAGGTTTTGTTGACAACGTACACAAGCTAGTGGATATGTGGTTAGCAAAGACATTTGGATTTGTAATAATTAGCTTTTTCTCCCAGGTCACATAGTTTGTAATAAGTACCGGGGAATACTGTGTGTAGTAGATGCCCCCGGAGTGATGTTTATGTAATGTTTCACAAGAGTAACTAATGACGAGTGTCTTACATGGCAGATGAAGATTAGTTAGTCTTTCCTCTTGTGTCGAGTGCGGCACATAGGGCAGAGGTCATGACTCTCCATGCATGGCGGTTCGTTGCAATCTGTTGTAGGTCTTGGATGTTTGAGTGGCCCATGAGCGAGCCTTCCCTGATGATAGTTCTACGTAGGGTTTCCCT